ATTCAAGTCCGGTGCAAAAACGCATGATCGCACGGGCCCGCCCGGTGCGTTTCAGCCTGGGTTTTCCCTATGCAACATTTGCAGCGCGTAGAAATAACTCGTCAGGAAATAAATCAATGGGGCTGAATTTACAACTTCCTGCTGCTAGTATTTTCGTTGCATTAAAAAGTTTATGACGAATTTTTTAACGATTTTCCTGCAACTCTAAGCGTTCAGACTACAAATGTACTTGCTTGACCGTGAGATCCAGGATGCGACTAACTTCAATCTAACTTTAATAGACAATAAATACCCAGAAAACTCGCGAGTTTGCTAGTTTATAAAAGTCAGCATAAATTCCTATAAAGTTAACAAGTTCGTTCGAGCAACCTGTGCTGGAAATTGGTTTTTTTCTGGGCGCAGTAACGTTGTTCATTCCGTCTGGCACTCATCATGCGCAGCAGCATAAACGCTGTACCTTTAGCAGTCAATTTCGAAAAATTATTTGGTACTGGCGTGCAGAATACGGCAAGAAGTCGACTGCTACCCAGGTGCGCTGTTACGGTAACGAAATGATAACAGAAATGGCAGTTTGGTCAAACCAGTTTTGTCGCTCGGCATAATAATCTCCAATGTGATTGCTAGCTTTTCGAAGCAGCTCATCGTCTCCTGGGGAACTGCTTTTTTGTAAAATCTCCATGATTCTAAACCAGTTGTTTGTTTTCTCTCGTACAGCAATCGCTAAATCACGTCGATCATTTTCCATATAGATTTTCTCAGCTTCATCGACGCGACCGTAGAATGTCGCTATTTCCGCTTTTTTGAACTCGTCATTCTAAAATGACGACTGCTTATTGCTAGGCGGGAAAGGGAAACAAGTAAATTGATGCTTGTAGAACGGACGACAGATATACATAATATGAAGATCGTAGCCTTGTAGCTTGAATAAGCAGGCTTACATAATTACTTTGCTCAAGAGAACTTCACGGCATGGTTCTCATCTAGGTAACTGGCAACTTTCTCGTTCAATTTGACAGCGCAGCACTGTGTTGGTCAGTCTGTTGGCGACCCTGACTTTCGTTCCTGTTACGAACTAAAAGATTCCCTGGCGAAAGCACTTAACAGTGCTTCAATCACTCGAAGTGTTATTAGTATTTTTTGAATGTCATCACCTTGTTTTGAATTTTCCTGACAGTGAGAAGGTGCTATACCGTTTATTTAGTCCAATATACTGCAAACGCAAAAGTTCGACATATTTTTTCTTAGTAACTTGGAAATTTCATATAATTTTAGGC